TCTATGGACTTTTTGGGGTACTGGGGTTTTTTGCCGTTTTACGGATGCACGCAATTTGTAACCTGGGCATGTTGGGTATCGTTTTACTCGTTGTAACCTCATCTTTTATATTTCATTAAAAAAATGGGTATTTTGTTGTGTTTTGGGGCATTTAATTACATTTTTCACTAAATATTGGGGTTTAATAAGGAGTTGCGCTAATATTGCGCAACATAAAAATTTGCAACTACCACCATTTTATTCTATAGGGTCTTGGCATTCAGAAAATATATAATGTTGGGGGGTTTTAAGTAATTTTCCGGCCTAAAATGTGGAATATAACATGGGTACAAAAAATGAAAAAAAGGCCTCAGTCATGAAGGGGTTAAGGAAATGAAACTGTAATCCGCTTTATCTACAGGCCTGACCTTATTTAACTACTAAAAGTCCATTAAAAGTGGAATACACTTTAAAGGGAACCCTCATATGTATATTGTACAACAATTTTCCTTCCTTCCTCCCTCCCAATAGTTATTAGTTGGACAGGCGCCTTCCTGTGTTCTCCTCTGCAACTCTGCCATTGCAGTGCATGCACCATAACCACACTGTTATTGGCTGCCACCTCTTGACCACAGCTCTCGGCTCAGAGCGATACCAGGGGGATTTGCGTGAACAGCAGGGCTGCGTAGAGGGACCTGTGTTCTGTTCTGTTCAAGTGCAGTTTAGTCTTGGATCTGGATCGGCTGTCAGAATGTGACAGTCAGTCACAGTGCACCACCTGCATTTGTGGAACTGCAGAGCACAGGGAGAGAGGGGGCATCCAACATTCATACATACATGCATAATATGAGCTCTGTCTTGTGATCAGAGGTAACCCTGCTGAACAGACCGCCACAGGAAGCAGTGGTGAGCTGATGGAGGTAAAAGCAGCAGCATTCCCATGCATTTTATTAGTTTAGAGCAAGACAATGATTGAGCAATACTTGTATGAAGGCCAGAATCCATTGTAAAGAAGTTAAAACAGAGCACACCATTTCATTTCAGAATAACATTGTATTGCGGCCTTTTAAAGAGAAGGTTTCTAAAAAACTATCAGAGGTATAAAGCGGGAACCTGGAGATGTGTGACTAGTCCAGTGTGCTATAACGTGCAAATGGGAATTCAGGAACTGAAATAATACTTGGGTCCTGTGCCCTTCCATCTCCCGTCCCTCACCCTTTGGTGGTGAGGTTTTCCATTACAGCAATGGACTAGTAGGTAGGCCATGCTATTTAATGCACCCCAGACAATGAGGATCTTAGGATGGTCTGCAATATATGTGAAGGTACCTACAGGCATTGTCACGTTTAGTCCTTGTCAGGGGTTTCGGAAGTTTTAGGTAAATACAGGTTCCCTTTAAAGTGTAATAACACTGATACTTTTTAGTTTTGGATAGAGTAGAAAATGGTTAAAAGCCCTGTATGTATTTGCCCATCTGTGTCCCATTGGGAGGATGACGCTACAGAATGATTGCAATCCCCTCTTAGTCATCAGTCATTGCCCCATGTTCTAATGATAACTGAACATTTTAGATATTTCCCTTCATTTCAGTCCTGGTGATAATGTCACTGGGACAGACAGAGGGGATCAATTAAAACAAAAGTTGGCTTTAGACTTGCTTTAAGTTTTTGTGGCAAAAGCTGTGCATTTCATAAATCAATGTGTGTTCTGCATCTTCTAGGGTCAGTCTGGACACAGACATGGAAATCGGGGAAAAAAAATGGCAAAGAAAGCTGCTTCCACTGACCTCTCTGCTGGTGAATCAGGTGAGAACAGAGTCTTGGGGAGAATAGAAAGAACAGTCTGTTCACCCCGTCCTGAATGTTGCATTTATGGTTCATTGATCTGGTATTTGCTATTCAAATGAATTGAGCAACATTCCTAAAGCTGAACTCCACAAATGATCTTTTACAGCCAATATATATTGGTCCAGCTTGGCTCAATGTAAGTGTCCGTATCTAATATCCAGAGCAGCCTTTCCCAACCAGGCTGCTGTGGGACACTGGTATGCCTCCTCAGGGGTGCCTTAAAATGTTGTGGTAGTGTGACTGTGATGTGAAGACTCATGCGAAGGGGGCTCCTGATGTAGAAGTGGAATTCTGATGTGAAAGGCGTGCTCCCGATGTAAAAGAGGGCTACTCATGCAAAGGGGGAATCTTGATTTGAAAGGGACACATCGATGTGAATGGGGAAGCCCACTTTTTTGGGTGTTTTTACAAGGGGTCCCCCTTAAAATCTATGACATTGTAGACTGGGGTACCTCAAGATTGGAGAATTGGAATACCTGCCCCTGAGAAATACCATGCAGCCATCACTGTGATGCATGTAGACAGGAAGAGACTGCGGGAGATCGGCACATGAATTTCATATAAACACGGCTTTGAGCAATGGCAGCTGGGGTATGAAGGCTTTTTCTATTTGGTGATATGAACGTTAAGCGTTTGTGCCTGGTGGGAGTCGATAGTAGAGACGTTATGGAATCCTAGATAACCATTTCACCGGTGCCTTCAGGAACTTAGGGGTTTCCTGGCACAGAATTACATCTGCAAGGAGAAATCTAATTTCTTCCAAATCTCATAGTAGAACTCTTCCCCCCTCCCCCCATGAGGTCACATGCTTATCTCACCTGACAAGTGGCAGATATTGCTTTCCTATCTCATATTGGCCCTGTCACTGCTGCTCTCTGTCTTGATTAATTGCAGGGAAAAGATCAGTGACACTAATCAAATTTTCTTCCATTTGCACAGCCTGGTTGAAGGAAAAAGCACAGACTAGTAGTACACCGATAGTGACTGCTAGTAGGGCCAAAATATGGGATGGCATGACAGTTCCTGACCAAGGCAGGGGCATGGAGTGATTACCGCTGGGGGGGCAAAAGTGTGCTTCCCCCATCAGCTAGGTAGATCTTCAGCTTTTCCCAACGTATTATTTTTATGTCAAACCATTGAAGTGGAAATTATAATGTCATGTCTCTACTCCCAGTCCTACAGCAAAAAGTTTTCCTGGCACACTCGCAAGCCAGCATGTAAAAAACTTGTCTCACCGCTAAGGTTAAAAACAGAGGTTTGGATACACGTCTGCAGAAAATGTGAAAGCCGCACCGCCACGCCACGGCACCTCTTATAGTTATCTTCTGCCCCATGTGCTCCAAGATGGAGGCTCTGATAGTTTAGAGTTAGGACCGCACTATAAGAGGTGCCTTGGCGCGGCAGTGCGGCTTTCACATTTTCTGCAGACGTGTATCCAAACCTGTTTTTAACCTTAGTGTGAGACAAGTTTTTTACATGCTGGCTTGTGAGTGTGCCAGGAAAACGTTTTGCTGTTTGACTGTTTGAAGCCCTTCCATGTGCACCTTGCTGTAAAGCTGGTGACGAATTGATGAGTGCGTTTGTCATCTGTTTTGCTACTCCCAGTCCTAGCCACACAAGCGCTGCCAGAACATACCAACACAATTTGACTTTGGCCAGGTCCGGCAAAACAAATGGACCCGAGATCTGTTTCACCGGACCTGATCGTGCCAGATCGGGGTTAATCTGATGTAAATAGTCACAAGTCCGTTTACATCAGATTCCCCATAGAATGACTTGGGGTCGCAAGATGGAGGAAAAAAGTGGACGGATACGGATGTCACAGCTGTGATATTGCTCTGATCAGGAGAGGATCCATGCACGGATCCCCTCCTGATCAGCCTGTGTGAAAGGGGCCTAAGACACGTATCGGCATCCTTCTGCTCATGTACAGTAGGATTGTGGTGGTTTAGGTTCTTTTTGTTTAATATGGTCTGTATAATATCCTGTATATAATCCTCTATAATAATATGGTCTTTCTAACCAGGCTTGCTTTTCTCTCCACGACTGCAGTCATCGGGAAGGTCTTAGAGATCACAGAGCTGCCAGACGGGATAAGTCGCAAAGACGCAGAAATGCTATTTGGCGAACTCTTTAAAGTAGGTGCTAAAATCCGGTGGCTTCGGGACCCTCACTCGCAGCAGGCACCGCACCAACAGCAACACAACCAACACAACCAACACTATTGTGGCAGTGGAGACAACCACACGAGTGCTGACCAGCCCAACCCTTCCATAGACTTGGCCTCCACGTACACCGTCATCGCCACCTTCCCCACAGTGTCCGCCGCGCAGAATGCACTGAAAAAACACAATGATTTCATGAACAAGTTTAGACTGAGAACAAGCAGAAAATCCTACGACCTTCACATCCTAGAAAGAGCAAGCTCTCAATAGAACAGACGGAGGCCCTGGTCACAGGGGGTCGGCCTCCACTTCAGTCGCCACAAACGATGGAAAAAAACCCGCTTCTCGTCTGTACAGAGACACGCTGTTGATTTCGTACGATCACGACCTAGCAAATGGAAGACCCTCCTATGGAACCGGCAAAGAAGAATATCGATCAGCAGGATTGAAACCTCTCCCTTTCCCCTTTTATAGTCTGTTTGTTTTATATTTATATTTCTGTATTGGACCCAAAGTTCTCTTGTACAGAGGAAAAAAAAAAATGTTGTTCATACTGAATGCCCATGATGGAAAAAGAGAAAAAAAAAAATGAAAAAAACAAAACAAAAGTCTGTGTTTTCTACTTTTTCTTTTTTCAAAGCCAGCACTTTGCCATCCATTTTTCCATGAACAGGGTGGGGGAAAATTAACGCTGCACTTAAAAAATATAAATAATAAAATAAAAATTAAAAAAAGAAAATTCTATATACAATACATAGAAATAAATATATATTATAATTATAGACCTACTACTGTTTAGAAGAGACGTCGAATTCTGTTCCCCTGACGTTCAAGGGGATGCCGTTAAAACTACTGGTTCTCTTCACCGTGCCCTTCAGAAGTTCTATAATTTAAGGCTTTGTGAAAGTTCATTGTAAATAAATGATATTTCTCACAAAATTCACTTTATAATTGTGGTTTTATAATTGTTTCGGTCTGGTTTCTTGCTAACCGGGTTCTTTTCTCGGCCTGAAGGTTCTTTTAGTAAAGAAAGAGGGGCATGGATTGAAGGATTACAACGTAATTGTGGTCTGGTAGCGCCAAATTGCTGCAGCCTGTTGCTTAAATCATCAAATATTTCTTTGCACCCTTTAAAACATTACAGATGTTATTGCGTTGTTGTAATGGAATGCAGTAACAAATGACAAATTAAGCAGAATTTACTTAAAACCTAATATCCATAATATGTAAAAACATTTCCCATATGGTGAAGTTGTAGATGTAGAATCTTATCTGCCACAAGATGGTCCAATAAATATAGCGTCATTTCACCGAGGTCTATTGGATGAGGGTTCTGAAACTACAACCAAGGTCTATTGGATGAGGGTTCTGAAACTACAACCAAGGTCTATTAGATGAGGGTTCTGAAACTAAAACCAAGGTCTATTAGATGAGGGTTCTGAAACTAAAACCAAGGTCTATTAGATGAGGGTTCTGAAGCTACAACCAAGGTCTATTGGATGAGGGTTCTGAACTACAACCAAGGTCTATTGGATGAGGGTTCTGAAACTAAAACCAAGGTCTATTAGATGAGGGTTCTGAAGCTACAACCAAGGTCTATTGGATGAGGGTTCTGAACTACAACCAAGGTCTATTAGATGAGGGTTCTGAAACTAAAACCAAGGTCTATTGGATGAGGGTTCTGAAGCAAAACCAAGGTCTACTAGATGAGGGTTCTGAAGCTACAACCAAGGTCTATTAGATGAGGGTTCTGAAACTAAAACCAAGGTCTATTAGATGAGGGTTCTGAAGCTACAACCAAGGTCTATTGGATGAGGGTTCTGAAGCTACAACCAAGGTCTATTGGATGAGGGTTCTGAAGCTACAACCAAGGTCTATTGGATGAGGGTTCTGAAGCTACAACCAAGGTCTATTAGATGAGGGTTCTGAAGCTACAACCAAGGTCTATTAGATGAGGGTTCTTAAACTACAACTATATTTCAACTCGTGTTTTGAGATTATTTTCTTTTACGGAAAAAAAAAAAAAAATCCCTATTGGTAAGTTAAAGAAGAACTCCAATAAAACATATATATTAACCCTTGCAGTGGGGATAGCCCAGCACTCTAAGCCCTCATTCACACTAGAAACGTCCGGCACGTACAGTTCCGTGCACGGCTGTATTGCTTAGGTCCCGGGAGGGACAGGTGCTGCGTGTGATTAGTACGCAGCCCCAGTCTTTATGGGACTACCAGGCCGTACACCACCCTACGTTCACCCGCCCTACACGTGGTTGCGGGTGTCCGTACTAGTACGCGAAACAGGATGGATCCTGTCTGCGTCCGAGCCAGGAAACACGCACCCGTACAGAGCTGCACTTGGGGTGAGCTGGCATGTTAAAGGTCACCCATGCCTAGACTAGGGACATGAAACATTTCCCATGTTCTTAGAAAGTGTTAAGCTTTAAAACAAGCCGTCACTGACCTCTCTGGCTGCTTTTAGTGTGAAGGTCTTCATTCTCAAAAGTCGCAAAGACTCAGAGGGCTTGTTCACACCAGCAAGCCGCGCTGAGCACATGGCTGCTAATAGACATGTGCCATTCGTTTCGGAAAGATTCATTATATGGACGAATTTTCGGTCATGATGAAAATGACGAATGTAAACAAATTAGAATTTCCGGTGACGAAAATTTCAGACGAAAGTCGGTAGCGGTAGTCTGTATGAATTTTTGTTGCAGCAAAGTGACATTTGACAAAAGGGAAAAAAAAAAAAAGCCTGAGGTTCCCCTCCCGCTTGATACTAGACCCTTTAGGTCTGGTGGGGATTTTAAGGGGGAACCCCCTAAAATACCTACCAGACCCTTGATCCGACCACAGGGGCCAAGAAAGGCGCAGGGAGGGGGAGCGCTTGATTGTCCCCGTCCCCCCTTTCCTGCCCTACCAGGCCTGTGCCCGACTCAAGGGTCTGGTAGGGATTTAAGGGGGACCCCCATGTTTTTCCCCTTTAAAATTACTACCAGACCTAAAGGGCCTGGTATGACTTTTGGGGGACTTTTTTTTTTTTTCTTCTGCGGACTATAAAACAAAAAAAATCCCGAAAAACGAAAAAATCCAAATAAAAACGAAACAAATTTTTTGCAGGTGCTCATGTCTAGCTGCCAATGTGTTATGAGACAAACGGTGTTCTTATTTTGTTAGAACATTAATGAAATGTGATCATTTCAATGATTATTATTATACAGGATTTGTATAGCGCCAACAGTTAGCGCAGCGCTTCACAATATGAGGAAGACATTACAATCACAATTCAAGACAAGATGGTAAGGAGGGCCGTGCCCCTGAGGGCTTACAGTCTAAAAGGGAGGGGGAAGTGATACATGAGGAGGTAGCTGTGTGGGGATGAATTGTTTGAGTTATAAGAGATAAAATATCAAACTGGCCACACACATCTGATTGGACAATCTCTGCACAAATTCCCTAAAGCTGGGTATACACAGGTAGAATTTCATACGAATGTCAAGTTAGAAAAATTCGATATTGCCATCAGACTTGAAGAATGTAATTCAACATTCTCTCTTATTTTACCATTCAATTTTAGACTAAATGGAATTTCCTGAACGAAAACCGCTTTTATGGTTTAAATTCCATCCCGCTCCTTTTATTCCCCAACTTATTTTTTTGGATTGCAGTTCTTTCAATCATGGAGTCATTGTGTGGACTGTGCTGGAAAAGGCAAAAGGAGTGCAGCCACATCTGGCGTGAACAAGCCTCAAAGTCTTTACACTTAAAGTGACATTAAAGTAAAAAAAAAAATTCCCTCCCCCCCCCATGTAAATTACTCTTATTCCGATCTTCTTTCCTGTCCTTTTTAATCTGTCCCTCCAGCGGTGTGACGTCACTCTGATCCAGCGCTGACTGCTCTGTCTCTCCGATCCAGCGGTGTCTGCAGGCGGGTGCACGCGCCCATAGACTTACCTTGCGTCTCTGCTCGTCTCCCGGCCGAGAATCGGAACTGCACATGGGCGCGCCCCACGAGATCCTTTGCGGCCGTACGAGCAGTTCCTGATTTTTGGCGCGGGAGTGCGCAGCGATAAGGTAAGTTTAAACCTAGTTAAAGAGCGTTTTTTTTTTAAACTTCTTGCCTATATCTAGTGCTTGCTAGCAGTAGATATAGGCAAAAAAAACGGAGGGTTTAGAACCCCTTCAAATCCTGCTGTTCTATCAGTTTGTGACTACGTTAGAATGTGTAACCGGTCATGTGGTCGCACATTTTAACGTAATCCTGCCCAATTTTTCAGCAGTGGATTGTGTGACCACCAATAGGTCAAGCATTCCAAAGTTTTCTCAGCTGTTCCAGGGCAGATGGTATGTGCAGGAGAACTGATCTGCCCTGGAACAGCTGATCGGTCCTGAAATGTCACTTCTATCTGACTTTGTGACTGCGATCTCACATTCCACCCCACTCACATAGTCGGATAGAAGTGACATTTCAGGACCGATCAGCTGTTCCAAGGGCCGATCTGGGCGGCCCTGGAAGAGCTGAGAAAGCGTTGGAATGCTTGATCTATTGTCTGTCACACATTCCACCGCTGTAAACCAGGGTGGGATTACGTTAAAATGTGTGACCACGTGACCGGTCACACATTCCAACCTAGTCACAAACTTTGATAGAACACCGGCAGCCTGCCATCAAAGACAAAAAGATTTTGATACCAGTGTTGTGAACTTGTGAACATTGATAATGAATCTCTCTGCAGTGCTTTTAGATACAGAGATGAATGTTATGGTTTTAGATTTGCTTCTACCGCTTGCTCAGAACATTCCATTACCTTGTACTGGGCGCAGGTTCACTTTAGGGATCACAGGAGCCTTTGATGTCTGCTATTCGCTCAGGTGCCGGACTCTTCCCTTCAAAGAAAAATAAAAGTGCATCAGTGACGGGATGAGACTATTGATCTCTGGGCTTTATATTACGGTGAGCCACGAATGCCGTCACAAACACAAAGTGAACTTGCTGTTGAGCAATGTGCTGCATATGAATGTTGTTTTCTTATACTGGTGAGTCACGGCAGCAGCTGGCTTTCCGGAGATCTGTGTCGCGTGCCAATGATGTCTTCTCACTTACAATTAAAAAGTGTCTGCAGCTTGACTTGATGCCAGGATGCGTGAGATACAACATGGAGGCTGCCTTTGCAGATCACTCCTGCTGAACGTTACCTGGTGGTCGGGCTTGAAGCAGAACTATAACAAGGCTTTGGACATTTAAATATTTACAGTCTTGAAGTAAACCTTTACACTAAAAGACCCCCTCCTCATGCAGCTTTGCATGCCGACCTGCAATCATCTTACATTCATTAAGGAAACTTTTTTTTATTTTACCTATAATTGTTTTTCCACTTCCTGGTCCTCTTGGGCATTAGTGATGTAATGTGCCCAAGCATTGCATCCTGGGAAGGTTACATCCAGCAGAGCATTGCTGGGAAATCTCATCTGTAATCTCACAAGAGCTCAGGGAAAGGCATTTTCCTCCCCTGAGATGATGGGCATGGTCACGTGTGTCTGAGTTCCAGGAAGTAAAGGGAGTTATATTAATCTGCCCTTAGTTAACATGGCCACTGTCAGAAGACTGGGGAAGAAAAGAGAAATAAGGTATACAAAGCCGGCAATTATCTAGAAGTATGTGTCTGTAGATTACTACAATCTCTTGTTTAGTTTACCGATTTGTACTGAGATTGTAGTCCATCCCAGGAGTGATCTTGGAGCAGTGACTACTTTACAACACACACAGGAACCATGGGGAACAAAAGTAGCCCCCCTCCAGAAGGAAGGACAGTGTCAGGACCAATTCAGAGATGATTGGAGGATCTACAGCCGAGTGGTACACAAATAAGAAACATTGTTGTTACTAGTTAAGGAACTTTAATGTATTTTTAGGACTTAACTCCTGAGTTTAGTGTCACTTTAATAGTCCTAGCCTGAGCAGCAGGTGTTTGTGTTTCTGCACAAGCAAAAGAGTACATAAAGCGGGACCCAATAATAAAAAAAACCTCAGCTCCATCAAGTGTCAGCCCCAGGTAAAAGTACTCTACCTTCTGATATAAGCAGCAAGGCCTGTACCAAAGACCGCCATACAACACATAAGGGGGGCGCGATGTATCAAGATTTGAGCAGACAGAATCTGGAGCAGCTGTGCATGGCAACCAATAAGGTTCTCTCTTCAGTTTGTTCAGTTACGATTTGAAAATAAAGGGAGAAGCTGATTGGTTGCCATGCACAGCTGCTCCATATTCTGTCTGCTCCAATTTTGATA